AAGACTCTTAAATACGGAGAACAAACTGAGGATTGGTGGAGGGGAAGTGGGGGGGGCATGGGCTAAATGGGTGGTAGGCGTCAAGAAAGGCACTTGTGGGGATGAGCACTGGATGTTCTATGTAAGTGATGAATCACTAAATTCTATTCCTAAAACCATTATTATACTATATGTTAACTAACTTGGATTTAAATAAAATTAAAAAAAAAATTTTTAAAGAATTACTGCTGTTCTTCAAGAGACATATTTCTAGAACTGACTAAGATAGAAAACTTTTCAGGCAAATTAGTGCATTGTATGGAAAATTCAGTGAAAGTCACAAGAAATTCCTTAATATTAAAGGAAATTTAAATAGGTAGTTTTAGGTAATGTTAGTAAGGATTTTTATCGGAAATGTAAAGACACATATATAAATATATAAACTGCATGTAATGAATTCAAAAACATGTCTCCACTAGCCAACTAGAACACAATGTAGCATAATATCACTTTTAACTCCACTCTGGGTTTCCTGTTTTGGCAGATTCACCTCATTGAGGCATTGTGGGAGAAATAGAGGTGTTTCTGCAGCATTCAAACTATAGCCTAAAACTTGTCCAATGGGGACATCCCTTACAAAGAAAGGCGGAACTATCATAGGTAAATATGATAGTTATTTATCATATTACCTAAATATGATAATCAGTGAAAGGGGAAATCTACAGGAAAAATTGTAATTATTTACTTATAAATTCCCTTTACATTTAATACCTCTTACCCTGTCTGAGTGGCCTCGCAGTAGGATACAGTGAATTAGGAAATACAAGAGCAACTTCTTTTTTGACATCCATGAGCAGAATTGTCTCTCCTCTTTCACGGGGGGTCCAAATGTGCTGCTCTCAAGAGATGCTCAGATGCTAATTCCAAAAATAACCTAAACATATCCATTTCACCAGAAATCTGAGATTTCCTATACTGATAATCCTATAGAACGGGTACAAGGTAAGTCAATAAAGTAGATATACCAAAAATATGCCTGAACTCAATAGAAATTAAAGAAACAAAAATAGTATTTTCCAAAGGGAAATAAAGATAAAAATAACAGATAAAAACGAAAGAGCTGAAGATCTGAGAATTGTATTGTGGTAAATTGAATTTTTGGCCTCAATTATTTACCCCTCTTTGTGCCCAGGCTTCCATGTAACTCTGCAATTTCTCTTAAAAAGAGAGAAACATTCCTCCACTCCTTGGAACACAGCCTAAAACTTGCTTTGGCCAATGGAATGCCGACAGAAGGGTCTGCTAGTTATGCATCAGTTCTTCTGTGGCCTTGTGGTTTCTGTTTGCCTTCTTATTTTCCTGCCATTGCCATGTGAAGAATGCGAGAGATAAGTGGGGCAGAGCTGAGCCCATGTTATAGTGAGGAGCCACGCTTGGCCAGACCTGCACCCAAAAGCAAAGTCACCCAGGCAAGTCCAGCTTGGCTACCCCCTACCTGGTCTACGTGTGTGGAATAAATAAATGCGTATGTTTGAATGGAACTGAGATTTTTGTGGTTATTTGTTACACAGCATTATCATCACAGTAGCTAAGTGATACACTTATAAATTAAAATGAGCAAAAAGGGGGGCACCTGGGTGGCACAGTCAGTTAAGTGTCCATCTTCTGCTCAGGTCATGATCTCACAGTTCATGAATTCAGCCCCACTTGGGGCTCAGTGCTGACAGCTCAAAGCCTGGAGCCTGCTTCAGATTCTGTGCCTCCCTCTTTCTCTGACCCTCCCCTGCTTGTGCTCTCTCTCTTCCTCTCTCTCTCTCTCAAAAAATAAACATTAAAAAATAATAAATAAATAAAAATTAAAAATAAAATAAAATGAGCAAAAAGGGTATGCTTTTTCCTTAGGAATCTAAAAAAAAATATTTCTCTCTCCCCAAGATTGATGTTCATTCATTTGCCAGGAAAGCCAACAAATTCACAACTGATTGATTGAGAGAGTGCCAGAACCAATAACTTCATTGTAGGTTGACCACTGACTTACTTTTCTCCCTCCTATACCAACAACTATAATTAATTTTCAAATGTTTACCCTTTCCTCCCATGTATTGAGGATATTAATGACTATGACCTCATCTGTAAACTTGTAGAATAAAGTTTCATCAGAGGTTCTTGAATGTTCTTTAGATCCCATGGTTCCAAGCAGGTGTTTGGAGGAGACAGCCTGATGGAAGCAGTGGAAGAAAGCTTAACAGTTAGAGTGCTAACCTCTCAACCAGCAGGACTCTGCTTTAATATATTTTTGATATTGAGGTTTCACTTGGAACTCAGTTCCACTGTTTTAAAAATTAAAATTAAAAACTGCTGGATAGGGGCACTTAGGTGCTTCAGTCAATTAAGTGTCAGACTCTTGATTTCAGCTCAGGTCATTATCTCATGGTTCATGAGATCAAGCCCCCTGTCAGGCTCTGTGCTGATAGTGTGGAACTGCTTGGGATTCTGTCTCTCCCTCTTTCTCTGCCGCCCCCCCCCCACAAGATAAATAAATAAGTAAACATTTAAAAAGTAAAAATAAAAAAATAAAAAATATTAGCGAAAATATTTTTTAAGATCTCTTCACACTGAAAACACTGTGATTAAAATTTTTGACTCATTCCACTCTTCACTGTATTGCTTATGACTTAATCCAAGACAGAAGTCCCAACAATCCTCTCCAAGCGTGACTGCCTGCTTTTAGTTATAAATTGTGCCATTTCACTCCCCTGCATCAAATTAGAGTAAAACCACATCTGGTGGGGTGTCCCGGCTCTGCCTCTCTCTGCAGTCGACTTAACTATACCTCACCTTTTCTTATTGCTTAAAATACACCCTGCTGTTTCCCAACTCAGAGACTTCTCACATGCTGGTCCCTCTGCTTGGAATACCGTTCCCCTACTCTTCAAATGTCAACTTCTTATTATCCTTCAATTCTCCATTGATACATGACCAGGCTTTCTCTGATCACTCAAACTAATGTAAGTCCCATCTGCCTCCATTATCTTTCTACACAACACATCTATCTTGTCTTTTTTTTTTTTTTTTTTTTTTTTTTTGGCACTACAGCTTAAACCCTTATCAGAACATTTGTTGGTTGGTTTTTTTTTTTTTTTTTTTTTTCATTATTTATTTGGGAAACAGAAGAGACAGAGCATGATACGGGGAGGGCGGAGGGAGAGGGAGACCATGAGATCGAAAGCTCAGGGCTCTGAGCCATCAGCCTAGAGCTCCGAATGCTGCCCAACTCACGGATCATGAGATCGCGGTGACCTGGCTGAAGTCGGACACTTAACCGACTGCGCCACCCAGGCGCCCCAATTGTTGGTTGCTTTTATTACCTGACTCTCCACTGAGTTTGAGCTCCATGTGGTCAGGTCTGGTTTATTTTTACATTCCCAGGACCCAAAGCATTGCCCATGTAATGTGTACATGGAGTATGCTCAATAATATGAGTCAATAAGTGACTGTCTTAGCTTTTATGATAATTCTTTTATTTTTCCTCCACCACCTGTCTACACCTCATAGCATTTCCCTGTTCACATGTGGTTCCAGTCTCTGACATGCTTACACCTGCTCTCTCTCTCTCTTAGTTACCTTCCTTAATTCCCAGACAGTGGTCCTTATACTCTTGTACATAAGAATTTTCTCTTTCAACTTACTTTATCATCCCACTTTCCTCTTCTTTTCCTTCTTGCACCAATGGTCATGATCTGATCTGTTCTGGGACTTTGTTATCAAGCTGATCCTGAATCTTGAAATTAGATTATAGCTACATAATACCTAACAATAGCAGGTATTCAATAAGTGCCATCTGATACCTAGAGAAGTAAATATTCTATGCTGTTTATTTATTTTGAGAGAGAGAGAGAGATAGCGAGTGAGCATGGGGGAGGGGCAGAGACGGGGGACAGAGGATCCAAAGCAGGCTCCGTGCTGACAGCAGAGAGTCTGATGTGAGGCTGGAACTTAACAAACTGGGAGATCATGACCTGAGCCAAAGTTGGACATTTAACTGACTGAACCACCCAAGCACCCCTCTATGCTGTTTTGACTCAGGTGAGTGAGGGGTTTGGGGAATGCCCAAATTTCAAACAAGGTAACCAGCACTCAGCTTCAAGCAAACAATGACCAAAGTTGTATCCTAACTAATTTCATTATCCTCTGTCAGAAGAAAAGACAAAAATAAGTGTATGGTTTATATATAGTCTATAAAAGAGGGACCCGAGGAACATGAACATGGCGTGTTTTCCCAGCAGTGCCCCAAGTAGAGACAACTGAGCTGAGGAACAGTAACATTATGGTTGTTAGAGAAGTGAGATTTGTCGGGGTAGCAAGCTGGTCATGAGCTCTCACTACAGTTTGGATGCTCTGAGGCTTCTGGCTGCTGGAAAGAGAACTCTCTCCCGGAAGTGAAAAAGTTGGCATTTTGGCTCGGACCAAAATGTCTTAGTGACTTTGTTTGGTATGAGTCAACTTAGAAAAATTCAATGTATTTTGAGTTAAGTGAAAATATTTTGTTTCCTTATCTACAAAGCTGAGATCCTCACCGTAAATCATAGTTCAGGAAAAAAAAAATGTCCTGGTCTGAGCAGCCACTAGCCTTCCCTGGATGCCAGTTCCATTGTGCCTGGCTTACCTTCCCATTCACCTATGAACCATGTGTAATTTCAGAACAGTTGCCACATCTATTGTTGTCTATCTTTGGCAGTTACATTGTGTAGTTTTGTGAGCACGTGATTACATAAAATGGAGTCAGATAATATGAGCAATTTTAGTTACCAGGGCAATCAGATATTCGTTAAAACGAAGACACAAGTCTGTAGCCTAGGTATATGTGCTTGTGGGTATGATTCTAAGGTTTCCCTTTTATCCAAATGAAGAAGTTGGATAATGTCTTGACAAACTGGGGAATCACCAGCTACCTGCAGGGATCAGCACAGGGAATAATTAATGAAGGAAGGTATTGAGGAAAATAACCAAAGTTTTCAAACCTGGGACTGAGATCTTCCCCACGGTCGGATGCTTCATCTCCATAATGAGGCCATTGTGTAACACCTTCAAATGTAAAAACAGAAAACTAAATTACAAAATAAAATTACTTAATCTCAAGGAGTTTGAAAAGCCCCCTGTTTGGCCCACCAAAGAAACATTGCAAAACACAGAATTTTCAAGTTTGGAATTTTAATTTGAAAGTAAATATTTGAAACAAAAATGTTTCCATCTTATATTAAACCAAGTGATGCCAAAAAGATTTAGAAGGCACTACATTTTTTTTACAAAGTCTTCCCACTCTTAAAAATGCTATTTGCTCCTAAATATACAGTATGATTTTCCCCTTTTCATCTGTGTTTGATCCTCTAAATACTGAAGCTCTGCCTCTTCTGGCATTACTTCATCACAGGCCATGGCCAAAGTCAACTGCAGAAGGACAGAATGGGAGGAAGAACCAGGACCAGGAACAGAGGAGTCCATGGGTATGGTACATGAGATCCTAGCAATTTATTCAGTGGAAGGTGTGGGAGTCAGTCCAGTTTGAAAGGTGAATCAGAATAACCAGAAGGCTCAGTGACTGCCGGAAGTGGACATATTCAGAGCTGCTGTGACCAGTAATAGGCAGGGCCAGCTGACCGGGAAGCCCAGAGTGGACTCATGTCAGAGGCTTGAGCTGGAGATTGGAACCAGTGACGTTTTGGGTGGTAATAAGACCATTATTATAAGACAAGATCTCAGAACTGGGAGTCAGTGGGGAGCTGGCAGGGAGGAAATTAGAGCAAACAAAACAAAACATAGACCCTGTCCTGAAGGGCTGGTTAGGTTCCCAGGCACTAGGACCACGATAGGTATTTGATGGTCCAAATAGCTTGGACCTCCAAGCTAGGTAGGTCCTGGCCTACCTAGACTTGGCCTCAGGTTCAGACTCAAGGCCAATTACTAGGACAGGGACATTCTATTAGGGACACAAGCAGAAGAAATGTGACTTGATGTTGAATTGCTTGACTACTGGAAAAGAGCTACCTACATCCTCGGCTTCCATTTTTCCTGTGGGGTGGGCAGGAACACAGAATCTGCCAGGGATCAAGTGCCCTCATAGGTAAAGGATGAGACAAGGGCATGGAACTAGATTCTAGACTACAAAAGTTGAATTCTGGGAGGCGAAACGTTTGGTCATACACAAATGAAAATTCTACAAAGTTGTTTTCCTTTGTTTAATTGTTTTTAATAACTACTGTCTCAAAGAACCCCAAAATTCAATTTACTATTACTATTACTGACTGTTCAGAGAGACATATATGGGTGACTCACATATGAATTGTGCTTTATCTGTACTATCTACCAAATGGAGAGCTTCTCTCTTCCTGTTTTGTACATGGATCTAAAGGGCAAGGGTTTCAGTGGCACAGTAAACTTGCAGACCATGATTTCATGCTAGCATACCCAAAAGCAGCAGTTGTAATGGCTCTATAGCATTTTGAGCTTCAGGTAAAAGCAAGATTTGCATATCCATATCCTTATCCTAGTCTTTTCCCAGAGTTAAAAGAGCATGGAATAAATAAACTAATAAAAATGTAAAACTCAGGGAAAGAGGTCACATTCCTTAGGCTCTCTCCATTTCCAGTGAGCTTTTTGGTCACATTGCAGAATAACCCACCAATAAGACAACCCTATAGGTGACATTTTAAGGTTAGAAGTAGAACTCTGCTGTGTCTAAATATTCTGGCTTCCACTGATTTCTTTGGGAATGGTCACCACCTTTGGGGTGATGCTCTTTAAACAACCGTGTCAACCTCCCTCAGTGAGGGTGATGCCACACCATATGGAGATCCTTTCTAGGGATGCCTTGCCTCTCTTTTGGAATCACCAGCTTTGCACCCAAGAGCTGGCCAGAGAAAATTCTTGCCAGTGTTAGAACTGAGCTATAATTTAACTCTGGTGTGGCTCGTTCTCAGCACCCGCCCAGCACAGCCTCCTCCTGTGTGGGGGTGGGGGCTAAATGCCAAGGCGAGGTGCTAAATCTCAGTTCTACTGAGGACAGGAACAAAAATACCAAGCTAAATTTCACTCGAAACAATTATCTGCACACTGAATCATTCTTCTCTTCTCGTATCTGTTGCCCTCGTGACTACCTCTTTGTAATAACACTGCAATGCTACTCACAGAAGACAAAAGTGAGTGTTCTCGGCTAAATATAACTTAACTGATATTGTTGAAATTAATTAACGCTGAATTTTAATCATGTAGGAAACGTTAAGTGTCAAACGTGAAAGGGTAGTTGGTAAAGGTCAAGGGACATATGTCACAGATCTGCAAAGCAAAAGCTAGCAGTTGATTGAAGTTTTTCATGGAAGCAGCTTAAAGAATGTGCTTCCTTCGCCTCTACCCTCATTACGGTCTGTGTATGATATTCCCAACATGAAACTTTGAAATCCAGCCTTACCAGTTCCTTTGCATTGAAAGTCCTTCAGTTTTAAGCAGAAATATAAATTCTTCTCATGTTTGGCTCAGGAAGGTTAACTGCGGTTTTTCATCTGCTACGGCATTTGTACAATTATGAAATAAATGGGCTAGTCTGAGCCCCCATCTTCAGAAAGATCTGACCTATTCCACTGCTTGGTTGCTATCCCCCTTTTTAGGTAAAGTTTGGAGTCAATACAATTCCATAGGCTTTCTTCTGTGAATCAGGTCAGATTATCTCGGGGAACAATCGAGGCCGTGGCACTGCTGTCCCTGGAAACCCTGCCTAATGACTCGGAATCTTGGAAAACTCTCCAGCCTTGTTTGTGGGGCAAGTCCTGCTCTGCTTAGTAACATATTCGAGAACCTCAGAACGCAGGCAGGCTGTCTGAATTTTAGCATAAATCTCTCCTGCTGCACTTCAAGCGTATTGTCTCTCCCTAACTTCACTGGAAACGGAGGACCTGGCGCTTACTAACATTTGTAGAACGCTTCTTTGGGAACGGTTACTAAATGTTCCCCGTTCCTTTTTCTCACCCAGCCTCATCACCCCAGCCTCTATTACCTCAACCTAGAAATTCAGATTTAAAGTGTTTCATTTTCATGGGGCGCCTGGGTGGCTCAGTCGGTTAAGCGTCCGACTTCGGCTCAGGTCATGATCCCTCAGTTTGTGAGTTCGAGCCCCCCCTCCCACTCCCCATTGGGAGTCACCACTCTGTGTCACCACTCTGTGCTGACAGAGCCTGGAGCCTGCTTCAGATTCGGTGTCTCCCCCTCTCTGCACCTCCCATGATCATGCTCCGTCTCTCTGTCTCTCAATAATAAATAAATGTTTAAAAAATTTTTTTAAATATAAAACATTTCATTTTGTGACCACTAACAATGGAATGGGGGAACCTCAGCTTTAGGGACCTCCAATACCATTTTCTCTCAAGGAAATGTCACGCCTGGAGCCTCAGTCTGGCCATCCAGGGCACCTGGGGGTACCTATTTCATTATTTTTGAATGAGGCAAGGAAGCTTCCCTAGAACTTTATAGTGGATTTCATCCTTCTTTCACTTATTTTATCCTCCCTAGATCTTTCATGGTTGGGTAGCTCTTCTAAATATCATTTCTTTTCCTTATAATTGCAAAAGCCTGTTCCTGACAAGAATAGAATTGTAGAGAGTGTACTAACCTCTTTAGCAAAGAATCGGGCCTATTTAAAATAAGGTCTTTCTTTCTTCTTCAAGAGTTTCAGAGATTGACAGGCTAATGACAGAGTCAAATGGTAATGTATTAATGATGGGGGGAAGGGGGGGAGTAAAATGTATACCTTGAAGTGAAATACGAGTGTAAGTTAAAGTAAGAAAGTCTTTTGATAAAGTCCTATGGCAGGAATGGCAGAACAAGTCTGTGATACAGCACTAACAGGAAAACAATGTAAAAAATAAAAAATCAATTCCCCCCTATCTCGGTGGTGAAAACCTCTAAGAAAAGCAAGAGATCTAGGTCAAGAGTAGAACTAACAAGGCATATTCAGATGAAAAGAGACTGACAGAATGGCGGCATTAAATGACATACACAAACGATATGTGTAAAGACCATATTAAAAATCAATATGATACCATGCATGACATTAACAGTGATGCTCAACAGAGAATGGACGATGAATAGAGACATGGCCAGTCATTCAGTTTAACAAACATCATAGAGCACCCATGTACTGAATGATAGCAAGGGGTTGGCAGTAAAAAGATGAATGAACTTGCATTCAAAGTGCCTATAATTAGAAGACAGGGTTGGGAATAAGAGACTTGAGCCGATTTTTATAACAGTTTAAGCTTCAAATGAAGGAGCAAAATCTAATAAGTAACAAGTAAGTAACTTTATCTACCTTGGAACGAAGCTAAAGGACATAGATCAAGGAGTTCAGTGGAAGTCACAACACAAAGATAATACAGAGATAAAACATTAGGTTAACAATTGCAAGGATATATATAATTACAGAAGCTATTGCTCAACAATACTCTGAAGGGTCAGTCATTGTGTTAGAAGGGAAAGAGTTGTCTCCATTTAATCCTCGCATGAACTAAACCCCGTAGGAATTATTCTCATCTGCATTTCTACTGATAAAGTGATGGAAGCCTAGAAAGGTTGAGAACTTGCCCAAGGTTTCACAGCTAATAAATGGTTGACTTTGGATGATAATTAAGGTGCCTCTGACCCTAAACACTTTGCCAGTTGGAGACTTAGTAAGAGAAAGAAAAAAAAAAAAAGACCAGCATAATTTGATTTACCATTAAAATAACTAGCTGATGTAGTCAATTCTGCAAAATAAATTAGTCAATTCACTGGGGCAAGAAAATCAGCCCAACGGATTGCTTGGCACCATATAGCCCAATTAGTTAATAAACTGAATGCTCCCTTGTAGCTAGCCAAGGCTACTACAGATACAAAGGCCGTGAAAAGAGGAAGGATTTTGGCCCCAGCATAGCTCAGATTTTGAAGGGGACAGACCCAGGGAGTGACCTTGGGCAAGGCACTTAACTACTCTGAGGATCAGAACCCTCCTCAGTAAAAAGGTGGCAATAATATCTGTTTCTCCAGAGTCTGTAAGGATT